GGGGGTGTGGAGCCGTGCCCGGCCAGGTGGGGCTGGCGGCGCGCGTGCGGCTCCTCGCTCGGTGCTGCATCGCCTTCGCAGGGTGCCCTCTTCCGCCGGTCGGGGGATGCCCCCCTCCGAGTCATCGGCGCCTGCAGCTGGCCTGTAAGGGGCTAAATCGTTAAGCGTTTCGCACTCGGCCCTATTCTAATGCAAATTCCGTCCGAAAAAAATACAGGCGGTTCCGTGCTACGGCCGACTTACTGGGTAACACGGTGTGTTAAACCTGGCTGTGTCTCAAACGGTGCAGTTTGATTCCAGGCCTCTCGTTCCAGGTGTGTATGGAGGGCGGTGTGATGGCTGCTACAATAAAAGAGTGCCTTGAGCTCCAACTCCTGGAAGTGGAAATGCTCTTTTCAATGTTTCCTAAAAAAGGTGAAATAAATCTGTGTGATGAGGATGCTGTGCCTGGCATGCAGCGCTATCTGAGAAACTCTGAGGGAGCTCTGCCCCGGCAGCTCGAGTACTCAGTTGCTATCGATGTAGGGGAGTCAAAGGTGAGAACTTCCACTTAGATGTGTTCACGTGTGTTGTCTTCTTTACTGCTTGTGCAGACACTTAAAAAACAGGATATTTTCCCCAACTCTGCTCTATAACAGGAAAAAAACCCTATTTTCTATTTGCTTTTTCAAAAGTTAAGAGTAACAGAAACATTAAGGGTTCACAGAATTGCAGATAGGAGTAAATATGTGACATCAGCTGCACACATAGCATTCACAGGAGCTTAGCTAGGGTTGTGTCTATATGAGTGTTGTTACTTTACTGGTTTACAAAGAGTTGTGTATTATAAGGGCGAAGCTCTCCTCATGTAAATACCTATCTTGCGCTTTATACTATTCTAATAAAACCACCCTAATATTTCTTTCCCGTGCCCTTTGCCATGCATACTTACTTTCATTCATTTGTATTTGAAAAGACGACTAATGTAAAAATAGTCAAAATGGTGGAATACTGTTCAGAAGAGTCATACAAACATTAAAACAAAACCAGCCTAGGAACTGGGAAACAGCATTTACAGTATAATGAGTTCCATTGGCTTGCCTTAGCTGTCATGCCTAACCTTTTTTTTCAATAAGTGATGGAATTACTTGTACAGAATACAGCCATTAGAGCAGGCCTTCGCATAAAATAATACGAGGACTGGAAGTTGAAAGTAGACAGACTCAACCTAGAAGTAGATGTATTCTCCTAGAAATAGCAATAATTAAACATTGGAACAAATTACTGAGTGGAAAGGTAGACTTATCATTATTTGGAAACCTACCTACAAGATTAGGTATCCATCTAAAATGTACGCAACCTTTTAAGAGAAGTTCAATGAACTGTGTATGGAGGGCACGTGAATCTTCTCCTGTTCTTCGTACCACAGGTGGAGTTCAGTTTCCAGAGAACTGAGATATTCCATTTTAAGACACTGTAGGAATAATCAAGTGAAATTCAGCAGCCCATGTAGGATCCAGTAGGAATCAGGCTAGACAATTTAGAGGTTTCCCTGGCTTAAAACACACTTAGAATGTTTTTATCCCATGTAATTCGGGGAGCACTACCTGTGTTAGGATGAACACTTGTTTAAAATAATAAAAATATACAATATTTACAATCATGAATGCTTTTCCTTCTAATTCTTGTCCCTGTTTTTTTTCCTGGGACAGCTGGTCGTCCAGCAGCTGCGACAAGTTCATTGATCATATGTGAATTTGGTAAGGGGCATGATTCTCAAAAGCCACTTGAGCCTTTACTCTGACAGCCTTGTAGTTTGCCTTTGAAGCAACACTGAGCGCAGCCTATGGAACGTGCAGTAGAAATATCTCTAGAGGATAGCTATCTACTTTCTGTCAGGCCACAGTGTTATCTCCGGAAATAAGAGCAGAAGGGATCAGCCTTGAGAACATTAGAGATTCTGGGAAAGTCCCAGCAAGGTGCAACAAAAAAAAAGGAACAGGCAAAGGAATGGGTTGTTCAGGCAAAAGGAAAATGGAGGAAATAATTCCAGCCTGTAGGATGTGGCAGTCTTAAATTACATCTCCTCATAATCTGCTTTGACAGGAAAGAAGAAACTAGCATGTCTTTCAATAACTGCAGAATTCATTTTCTTTTTGTGTGTGTGTGTGTGTGTGTGTATTCTGTTTTTTAAGGCAAAAGTAGTATTGCAGGTACTGTTGCCTCACATGTATCCTCATGTAGCTCCTCAACTTTTTGCAAGATCAGATGCACTAAACAGACAGCAACAGTTGCAGCTCAACACTCACCTCACTTCTCACATCAGCTCTTTGGATTCAGGTGAACTGTGTATATGTGCAGCTGTCCAATGGGTGAAGGAGAACAGCCTGCCTTATTTGCAAAACAGTGAGATCGCTTCTGAAAGCACTTTGAAAGAAGAAGTATTTAAAGAAACATTTCATCGCATGTGGATCTATAGCCATCATATATATAGGCAGGAGTTGAGAAAAAAGATTTTTGACTGTGCAAAGAAGTTAAATCTGACTGGCTTCTGCCTAACAGGAAAACCTGGTGTGATCTGTGCGGAGGGAATCAGAGAAAACTGTGAAGAGTTCTGGCGTGTTATTAGATATCCCAGTTGGAAGCATATTTCGTGCAAGCATGTGGAGAGTATAGAAACTGAGGGAAACATTGATAGTCTTCGTCTCTTTCGTACTTTCGAAGACCTGCAGTTTCAGGCACATGGTGATTATGGCCTGAGGAATGACTATCACATGGATCTGGGCCAGTTCCTAGAATTCCTGAAACAACATCAGTGTGGACATATTTTTCAGATTTTATTTGGTGTTAAAGGCAAACTTTCAGACAAATAAGAGAAACTGTGTAAGGAGTTTTAAATTTGGACACCAGGCGATGAAGCAAAGATTGAAATACTGTGCCTTACAGCTACTGTGAAAAGGGAAACTGTTTAACAGACAAAAAGGACAGTTCGAGTTAATCTTTGTTTCTGTTCTCAAGTGTATGCAACAACTCAGAAGTGTTTACGTATTTTCTGAGACCCTGAAATCACCAGTTATCACTGTGAGCCACATCTCAAAGAAGTGGTTGCAAGGTGATAAAAATCTCATGTGGCAGTTTCCTGAATTAGTTTCAGAATTCAGGAATTCTGAATTCAGAATTCCTGAGTTCTGTCTCCTCATCAACACTATGCTGTATGATACTGAACCTGAGGTGCAGACCTGTAATTAACGACTTCGGCATAGAGTTATGGGAGACTGAAGTGGCTGCTGTCACAGATTAATATGGTTTGCAATACAAAAGCATATCCTGCTCAAAGACATCTTAATGCTATATTCACGATGTACTCCATGCAATATTTTGTACTGCTTCACAAAGCATCTTCTCTCACTTCATTTAATGAAATGTACAGGCTGTGTCCAACCACACCATCAGGCTTTGTTTTTAAATAAAGGAGTGGAGGAAAAAAAAATCCCCCATTACCCTGCCACTCGTATGCTTTGGGTAGCACTCATGCATTTATAATGCCATTATTGACCATCGTTTTCCAGCTGCTCCTCTTACCATCTCATTATGGTCTGGTTATGTTAGTAGTAATTTTTCAGCTGCTCATCTCATGACATTTTTGTATATATATATATTGGTAGGTCAAGCTACTTGGAAATGAAAGCATGTAAGAGGAGACATAATAAACAAAAGTGTAATGTTTCCTCTTTTCCTTATATAATAAATAAAAATGCATACAACTTTACCAGTCTTTCCTATGTCAAGTTAGTACTGACAGATAGGCAATATTCCAGTAGCTTGTTATAGGAAATTGTATTAATGCCTCAGTAGGGAGCGCTTCCCTTCTGGGTAGTGTATTGAGTTTGTGTTCAGATGGTGAATCACAATTAGAACTTTCAATTTATAATGAATCATTACAAATCGTATTTCAAGGTCATCATATGTAGATGAAGGATGCTACTGAAAAGTCCAAGTAGCTGTGCCTTAAAGAACTACGAGCTTGCTGCTTTTGTTGCCTTCCACTTTGTCATTGGAGCACAATAATATGAAAAGTGGTACTGAGCTAAAAACCAGAGTTAACTGGTGAGCTGTAGAGGCTAGGGCTGTTCGAATCTAAAAGTCAGACCGTTTGGACAGCAACTATTTAAAGATTGTATTTCAGTACACTCAGTTGACCATTACAGAATTAATAACAGAGATATGTTTTATTTTAAATAAAATACAAGGAAGTACTTTAATACTTTCTTAATAATAGCAATATATTGAAATACAGGTGATGGCAAATCTTCAGGTTGTTCCGAATGATTGATACACATTCCTTTACTGTGGTAAGTAGGAATGTTGTTTTTGTGGTCATAGTTTTGGCCAATATTACAAAGAGCACAGTTAGACAAACAAAATGTTGACAGTTTCCCATTATGTAATGAAGGGAAAGTGTCTCTCTCCTTTGTGGGGGTCATACTTGCAGTCTGCAGCCATGGCAGAACTGAGGGGCTGGACAAATAAAATTCAATTTTGTTTTTATAGAGATACTACTAAAGCATGATAGGTAAAAAAAACAAAAACGAAAAACCAACTGCATTTTGTTTCCAGAACTGTACATTACACTTTCCATAGAGTGAGAGTTCTGTAACGATAATTCTGTGGATTTGTTTAGAACGTTAGGTGACATGTCAGTGTCTCATTGCATATGCCACATGACTCTAGTTGTATAGCCTCGATAAAATAATTTTCTTTCAGTCTTGATAAGAAGTAGCAAAACAAACTGTTTTAGAAATAGGCCTTATCCATGAGACATCAAGCAGCAGAGAATGTGCAATGTGAAAGGCAATGCTGACATAGAAGGTCAGAAGAGCTGTGTAGGAGGATGGTCAAAACAATTCATAGGCAGAGCTGGCTGAAGCTTTATTCTGAGCAAAAGCTTTGTTGTTTGTTCATTTTTTTCTAAAATTGGACATGAACTCATGGTACAGTCTTGTCAGCTGTATCTAAGGAAGACCATCGGTTCATGATTTTTATTTCTGGATATGCTAATCATGAGTCATGAGTAGTTCCCCTGAATGCTTCAGTTGTGTTTTGCAGAGGAAATAATTGTTTATAGAAGGATAAGGGTAGCTGCCAGGTAAAACTTTTCAAAATTGGTTGACAAATTAGAAGGCATAAGAAAAGAAGATAGCTTCAGATGAAACTAGCGTGTAGAAAAACATAACATGCAGAATTAGCAATGAAGGTAAAAAACTAGGGTAGGAACAGTACTAAAGAAATTGAGCTAAACAGATAATCTGCATCCAGATAGCAGTAAGAGAGAGAAACATTCAGTATATAGCAAAGCTTGAGTGAAATGTGTTTGATCCCTCCATAATGATGGACTCTTTTCCTCAGAATTATTCATTCAGTAGACCTTGGCTGGATGATTTGGAAGTTCGTTAAAAACAATAATACTTTATTATATGCAATGTGTGTGTTTAAAAATACACCGGCCTGAAGTATTCAAAGATTTCTGTGCTGTTTATAAAAACAGTATATGCACAAGGTTTAATACATAAAAGGCCTGCTAACCAGATGGCTGATGTTTGTAACAAAATACTTAGTCAAAAAGAAGCCTTCTCATAACATTTGAAAGCTCTGGTTTTTGTCAAGAACATGGAGTCCAAGCATTTCATGAACTTTAGGCCAAACAATTGCTGAATATCAAAACAGCAGTTACCCTGCAGAGGGAATGAAATAGTTGAGCATTTACATGATATCAGCTTAGCTATTAAGTAAAATTAAAATGTTCTAATTATACATGAACGAAAGGTTCTGCAGATCTAGTTCTCATTATAAAATTCTCAGGAATCTACACCACAGGAGTGACAAATAAGGGTTTTCTTTGGAGGAAAGATATTCTAAGCTTATATTCTTCAAAGGATTTTTTTTTTTAATAATCATTTGACAATTTATGGAAATTACATTGTGATTTTTAATGGTTTAAACAGTGCTTATATAAATTCTTAGATTATTTTCCATCGTAATATTTGTCTTCTTAACCCTAATATTGTTCTCATTGACATTTGTGATAAAACTCTGAACTTAAATTACAACCACTTACTTTGATTACAAAGAGATCTGTAAAACTTTTGTGTAGGATATCTCAGGTAAAATCAAAAAATGAACAACACAGATCTACTTCTCAGATTAATATTTATTTTCTCATGTGTAATTAATTACCTCTTACTCTGAGTTTCTAACCAAATATTACAATTTAGAAAAAGTTTCTGCATCTTAAAAAAAGTTAACTATTCTTAGGTTTACTAGGCAGAAATGTTCTGAATATTTTAATGCTTTTAACTGCCGCTGGTTGGTTCATTCTCAGTTAAATATTTACAGTTTGCACTTTCATAGCTTCTTCCGGCCAGGTATATGAGTCAGCCACAAAGCTGTTATAATCGGTGCTGTAAATTTGAGAGCGGATAAAGCCTTCCAGGTCCTTGGGCTGAGGATAGGTGGAGGCGGTATTATTCCTATAGGCTTCTTCTGCAATCTGAAAAGACAAGTTAAATTCCTAATTAGTGCTATTAAATTCTTCTTCAAAGCACAGTAAGGAAAATGTGATTTGTTTAGTGCTTCTGTGCTCCCTTTATAGGAGAGAGGCTTTATTAATATTTGCCATAGGTAAACTCACAAGAAAAAAAATGGTCCTACGCAACGCACAAGAGGGTTGGGGGGGGGTGTATTTGCTTGCCTTTTTCTCACCCACACCATACCTAAGCAAATCAATTATTGCATCACAAGTACAGCTACAATAAAACAAAGTTTTGCAGGGTTTGGAGCCCACTCAGCACATCAAGGTAGCCTCTCATGCCTGAAAAACATCTACTTGAGAAATACGTAACTTTTGATTGGACATTCATCTATACAACAACCAAAGTTTTGAAGCAACAGCAATCTTTGGTAAGATCTGCTTCAACTTGGCAGACAATTGCTCCTACTCTGAAGCAGAGAAAGGCAATCTTCCTGCTCTCCTCAGCCCTCACTGTAAAATAATTGTTTTAGCTTGGTGAGAAGCTAAGAGCCCAAATGGAAGAGTCACTATATTCAGACTTCCTTTCTAGGATTAATCTGAAGCCCAACCTGATTCGTCTGAGAAGCAGGTAAGGTGATTATGTAAGAGTTCATCCTCAGGTCTGCGTGCATAATTATCACAGTTGAATGAGATCTGAATTTATACCCTTGATTGGGTTTTCCAAAAAATTTTCAAAATATTCCTTTCCTGGAAAGGGCAGAGACCATCACTAAAGCTCTTATGCTGTAGGAGCCAGAACTGGTATTTGCAGGAAGAAAGTTTCAATAGAGATCAGACAGAGAAAGAAAGAATTGGTAACATTTTCCTTTTTTGTATTATATGTAGACACCTGCAAATAACCTTGTCAGAGGCAATATTGCCGTTTTTCTGCCAAACACACAGGCAGTTTGATTTAGACTGAGGAATCCAGGCAATATTTTGTCTTCTACAGAATAGAGTTATTACTTATGAAAAAAACCTTAACTGCAAGAAGGATTTTTTTTTTTAATATACAGAATGAATAAAGCTACGGCAACCTTCTCATGCATGAGGGCTCTCCATTGTTCTTTCAAAAGAATATTCAATAAGTGGAATTATTTATAGTAAGATGACCAAGAGAAAAAAAAAAAAACCAAGAATTAGAGCCAAAAATGTCCTGGGAGAGGAACAAAATAAACCCATAAAAATGCCCCAAAGCCCCAGCAGAATAAGGGAGGAACTGGGGCTAAGTACATTATTTTAAAGCTTCCTCTTCCTCCCACTAGGACAGCCAAATTGATTGGGAAATTGCAGCTTTATCAACTGCAGGTTTAGGTCAGTTACTTAAAATCTATCAACATTAATTCCCTATTTGCCAGTTTAAAAACAACAACAACAACCCTGAGCCATAGACAAAAAAATATCCCCTGCAGTTAGTTTTCTGGTAGGCCAGAATAAGGACTGGAACAAAACGAAGCAGTGCCAGGACAAAGGAAGTTGCTTACCCTCTTGACAGACAACTAATAATCGTGGAGAGCCAAGCCTTTACCTGTACAGCTTTCGTGTCTGGGAGCTTGGGCACCAACCGGTGTAATGTCTCCTAATGAGCAGATAGTGCAGCATGGGAGCATGGGCTCTAGAGAACTCAGGCTGCTTTAACATCAGTAAACAAACACCGAACCTGCTGTACGACCATCTCTTTCCTTCTTGTATTTGGAATATATTTGGAGTTATAGCTGTGAATTTCAATTTAATTTAGAAACAACTGCTTGACCAAGGTTGATGCAAAATAACTTCAGCTGGTGTGAAGATACATTAGTTCATCCAATCAAATTTTAAACTATGTAGAGAGCATAAGAAGAAACAAAGTGACAAAAGATTGAAATGACTTACCTTCACAGCAATTTTCAGCGACACATCCTGAATAGTGACTAAAGGAGGGTACAGACGACCTTCCATTAAATTCTCCTCTGAAACCTGCTGAGCTATTACCTAGAAATAAAGCAGACGTTTAACTTCAGATGCGGACACAGCTATAGCTTTATGCGTGATCTAGTCTTAGTAAGGAAAGAAATGGTTCCTCCTTGGCAAATCATACAGATACTGCTTAATCCACCTACGCAGTGTTTGTTAACAGCAAACCTGACTATTAGGAATATCTTCCAAAGAACAAGACATTTTGGGAGTGCAAAAATGCCATTTTTCTCATTCAGATAATAAGAGTATTTTGCTCTGATTGTATTAAATCTTGATTCATTTATATGCTTGTAGATGGGAGAGGAGGGAAAGGAAGACTAGAAATGTGAAATCTGGTAGCACTTTGTTACAAATTTCTAGTTAAGAGGAAATACCACTGTCTCTGTCATACAAATGAGTCAAAAGGCTGTGTAGTTCACCCAGATGAAAAGAACAGGAAGAGGGTCTTGAATTAGTCTATGATACACGTAAGCCGGCAAGTGCTTCACCATGAGATATAAATTGCATTGCTTGTAAATAACTAGGACTGCATCAAAAGAAATGCCTGGCTACCATGAATTTGTCCTCCTGGCAGAAGGTGGCTAAAAGTTCGAATGAAAGAGAGCTAACGCTACAGTAACACCAGGTTCAAAGAGAAATCATGCTCTCTCCTCTAATTTACTCAGCAAACTGGGAGTTGTAGTAAGTTTCTTCTGTTCAAAGGGGAAATGTTAACAAGGGCAACAAGATGTTGTATCCAAGATATAATGAGAAAAGGGAAAGTACTTGCTTATATTTTAAGCTGATACTGAGAAATACAGCAGTCGCAAAAAAAACAGTAGAGGGAGCTAAGGCAACATAGGATCTCCTCCGAGTTTTTGCTTTTCCCCATTAACAACAACTAGGTTACTTAACAATAGTACACAGCCCTTCGATGAACTCAAACAGGATTTGCAGTTGCATGTGTAAAAAGGACCTTGTAACGGTGAGTTTAGCTGTTAACAGTTTAACAGGATTCTGTAGGAAACATGAAATCTGAAGAAATCAGTAAGAAGCTGCTGTTAATGTAATGCAGCACTGAAAAAAGGTTAGGAAGTAGAATACTTCTGTTTTGTGATGGGGATGGTACAAAGCAACTTAGACAACACTTGAGCAAGACTCTATTCAAAGTGGAAGCGGTAGCAGATTCAGACTACACAGATGCCATAACTAACTGTTCTGACAAACTCCAATAAAAGCATTTAAAACTGCAAAAGCACAAACAGAAACATTTTCAAAGGGAATGACGCATTCTTCAGGTCGTCTCTGAAAAAAGTTCTTGGAGAATATCAGTCAATGGCAGTGGAAAAAAAAGATGGGTCAGTGTTTGGAATTATTAAGCCTAAGAGAGGTCAAGACAGAAAACCTCATTATGCCAGCATATAAAACTGTAATGTACCATCACTTTGAATAGTGTGCATTTTTGCTCCACCTCCGTCAAACAAGAATAGGGTAGAATCAGAAATGATATAAAAAGTAAAAAGGTTAATCAGGAGGTTGGTTTTTGTACAAGGAGATTTAGTAAATAGGCTGGGGAAAGAAGACACAAAAGCCAGATGAAGGTGAACATTTATCATAACAATATAGGAAACCCAAATCATCAGGCAGCAGGAAATTACAAAAAGAAATTTTTTTTTTTTCCAGAGAAGTTATAATTAAATTGTGACATTAATTGCCAAAAGATGTTAAAACACATACACAGGTTTAAAATGTCATTAGGCTCATTAATGAAAGAGAAATCCATTTCTAGGATAGAAGTTCCAGCTCAGGGAGTCCTTAAAGCGCAGGCTGCCAGAACCTGTGCAGAAGGATCCTTCAGCAGAAGGATCAATCTGTCCTTTCCCCTTATTTGTCCTCTCTCCCTCAGCTTCTACTACTAATTACTTTCACAGAAGGATATTGGAGTGCTTGGATCTTAGGTCTGACCCACTGTGGCCGTTTTCATCTTTTAAAGTTGAATTATTTAAAGCTTTTAATAGAGAAATTAGCTTATTCCATGATTTAAATGAAAGGCAGCTAAGAGTGGGCAAATGGTATAAGGCAAGTAGGGGCATCTTGGCTTTTTGAGGACAAATTTTCTATAATGAAAGGAGTTAATAGGATTATCTCTGGAGCAACTTAACTGTAGGTCACACATGCCAAGAACATTTCATTAGTTCATGTTGTGTTTGGTAGGACTCAGAAGAATAAGTCAAGTCCCTTGTCATCACAGAGAAACTGCCTGCAATTAAGTGGCATTACAGCTTAGTACCTTAGATTTATCAACCAAAATCAAAGTTACATTTTATTTTACTTGGCATGAAGAAAAGAACATCTGAAAGTAGAATTTGTTGTACTTACAATAAGCTAACTGTGACTTTTACCAGATTTAATTGGAGAGGTGGCAAAGTGACAATTCAGGAGATGCAGGCATGCAGCCTAAGCTGCTTTTTTTTTAATATATACACCTTTTCAGATATGTTACCATTACAAATTAGAAGGTCCCTTTATTTAACAAGCATATTTTTGGCATTTTAAGTTTTGTAGCCTCTTGGGCACTTCCATTTCAAATGGAGAATACAGACAACTTTTCTAAGAATAATGTGAAATGACTTTCCTTTTATCTTCCCATTTAAAAAAAAAATCCAGAAAACAAAAAAAAAGCTCTTTTGCTTTGCTTTGTACTGTAATTTCAGCTAAGGGCCTACGCTCTCCTGGCTTTCACATTCCTGAAACCTTATCTAGCAGAGACGACTTTGAAAACTATCACTCAGTTTTCTCCTTGCTCAGTAACAGGCTTCAGCTCATTCAAGATTCAGACATATGACTGCCTCTAACAGAGACAGGGTACCACACGTGAATATTCTCAGCTCCAGGAGTATTGTGAAGAGCTGTTACTGTCTTTGGAGCCAGTAAAACTTTCTATGCAAGAAAAAAAAAACACACGCACATGTCAAACTTATTAGGGACTTTCATGCTTCAGAAGACATTTATGTAGCAAAATCTTTACCAGAAAAGAAAAGTCAGGAGAGAACCTCTATCTTGAGAGAGAATTTAGAAGCTTTCTTAAGATTTCTGATACCATTTTACTTCTCTGAGAGTTAAGTATCTTTGCTCACAATTGACTTTCTGCTGACTTTGCGTACTGCCACTTAAAATATACTTTGATCGCCATGTGTCACCTTTCATCCATCCATCACCATTCCAAAGCATTCTATATATAAGATCCATTTAATCCAAACCAAAATGAAGCAACTTCTAGAACGACAATAAGACAACTGTTTAACACAGCAGTTTAGACCAGCAAGCAAAGAACACCATATCCAACTGAAATTACAGGGGAAGATTTAAAACAGCAGGATATAATTACCCAAAGACTTACAAGATGGATCATTGCCCTCCTAAGATGGTTAAAGCCAGTGGAGACAGTCTGGGCTTTTTACTAATTTTACAGATGGAAATTGCAAATGTCTTTCTTACAGAGGGCAAGCTGCTGGTAAACTTTTTTAAAGAAGTCATAGTACACACCTTAAAAAAAAAAAAACTCAGAAATTCAGTTAGGGTAGCATGCGAGTGCCTACTCTTTAAGAAAGCTTCGTATCACACATACGGCCAGTCATACGCTCATAGGATTAAAATTGCCTCAGAGTGACAGTAAAAGATCACTTTTTTCCCTTTAATCCCTGAAGAGGGCACAAGGAGCAGGAGTCTTTGAAGGCACTATCCATTAGAGAAAGCTAGAAGGGTCGAATCAGGTATCTCACTTCTGCTATCTGTGCATCTTTTTTTTTTTTTTTTTTCCTCTTTGTTGAGCTTTCCATAATAGTCGATACTTTCACCATAATAGTCGATACTTTCACTTGTTTTTAGGCTTCCTCTGTATGCAACTGACACTTCCCATTTCTTCTCAAGCACACTCATTCGGCTGCCTTGGGGACTAGCACACTGCACTCCTGTGAAGCTTTGTGGATTGTAAATTGATACAAACTGTACCTGGTAGAAATCACCAGTGAGGTGAATGTAAGTTAATTACTGTTAACACAGTATAGTGAGGTTAACCTCCCTCTTTGCCGTCCCCCTTAACAAAAGCAAAAAAGAATCCAGCTTTTAATGACCTTGCATGGACACGGTCAAACCATCTCACACTGCTTAGGGCCTTCTGCTCGCTATGCTGAACGTGGGCCACCTCTGGGAGGGATGGGCTTGGGAATGTGGTGCTAAGAGCCCAGCAGCCAGAAGCTCGAGCAGAGGGAACCCCTTCTGCTGCGGGTGGGGGCCAGCTGAGACCAGTGAGGCTCTCTGTGCCAGCCAAGAGCAGAATACCCAGAGGTGAAGGAAGACAGAAGAACTGCAAGGCAGGGCAGGAGGGGGAAGGAGCAGGCCAGGAGGACAGAGTGGTAAGGGTGCAATGAGAGGATAGTGCATGGGGAGCAAAGATGCTGGACACAGAAAAGCACAGAAGGTTACAACTTTCTCAAGTGAGAAATGGCCACAGAAAGATTGACTTATTGTTTTAGGGTTTTTTTTTTTTTTTGGTAAAAAATATGTTGTTTTAAGTATTCAATTTTAAACATAGCCAAATCACCACAAGTAAGTGGTGAATGAGGGGAATGACTCCCCAGGACCAAATGTGTTTGCTCTCTGTTCATCTCTTTGTTCACTGAGTGGAGATAAAAGAAGGAGAGAGCAAAGTTTGATAACATCAGAACACAGATGATAAAAAATTGCTTTTAGAAAGAAAAGAATCAGTGCAGAAAAGAATAGGAAAGAAAATGGGAAGAGTAACATGATAATTATATCAAATTGTGGCGCAAGGAACCATAGACTAGCACTTTCACCATTGTTGACAAGAAATATGATGCCAACACCTCTACTCAAAAATAGCAAAAAGCTAAAAGAAAGCCAAATAGTATTTGTAAGCCAAACACCCACAAATGTTACCCCAAAGCTACGAGCATCAGGACATAGATTCTTTCAGTCTAGAAACACATTTATGTGCACGTGTATGCAGACTGTACATGTGCGCATGCACCTATGTTAATACAGTACTGAAGTCTTCCTTTTTCTTCTCTGCTTTCCATCAGAAGGTGAAGTTTATATCAGATGCCCTTCTGACCAAATATTAACTTTTTAAAAATAACTTGTTCAAAATAGAATTTATAAAAAACAACATATCTTGCAAATAAAGATCTTAAACAGAGAAAGCCGTATTTTTCCCACTTTAAAAACTATCTTTAGCTGTTTATATTTAATTGTTCATTATTACCCAGTGACTAAATTACGGAATTTAAATAATTTTAATACAGTACCTCAGCAGTTGTGAGGAACACCTCCTCACCAATATGTCTCAGTCCACATGAAACAACGCCAAGGGCAACTCCTGGGAACACATAGGAATTGTTACCCTGTCCAGGATATAGGGTTTGCCCACTTGGAAGAGTGACAGGATCAAAAGGACTTCCACTGGCAAAAATGCCACGTCCCTAAATGGTAAGACCAGAGCAAAACAAAGGATGTTAGTTGAGAGGAAGTTGCTGAAATATTTTGTACACCCTTTTAAATACCTACCACTGTGGAAGCTGGGTTACATCTATTTAATCATTCTTCTGACAGGGTGTTACAACTATTTGACTCAACACGCGTCAAGAGCAATAGGATGCCGATCCTAGAGATTACTGGCTATTCTACGTAGCTATCTGAGGTCACAGAATAACTACTGCCTTATGCAAGTAAGGTAGCTATTAGTATAATTTAGAAGAAGAAAAGTGACAGCCAGCATTAATTATTCATTTTGTACTTCCATGCTAGAAGAATGGTACATGGGAAGAAGGCATACACAAAATACTTAAAAGCTGTAAAACTCAAAGTGGACAATACTGTTGTGGTAATGATGGGCAATGCTATTGGAATTTTTCCCAATACCGTGGTAGATCTTCCACAAAAATGGTGCCAACGCCACTGAGCGTTGCCTTGTTACCTTTGCATGAAGGGTAAGGGATTTCTGAGGGACTGTGAAGAGGCAGGGGTCTCTGCCTCTCCCAAGCTCCTCTCTCCAAGCACCTGCACCCACTCTGCAGCCCAACATAATGCCGGAGGGGCAAGCTCTGTCCCTGGGACGTCATCCCAGCATGGGACCGAGAGCACAAGTTCGCAATGGGACTGCCTCTGTCTGGACCTTTTGGCTCCACTCGTAAGATATGCGGCCGGGGCACTATCTCAGGCGCTGGTGTGCAATTATCCCATACCAATAGACTGTTTGCATGCTCCTAGCAGATTTTTGTGGACTGTCAATGAGCACTGTTCCCAACAGTGCCCAGACACCATGCACAGACTGGTCCGAACAGGCAGTATGGAGGAGCCAACCTGTTTTGGGGAGTTGGAGAGTTTAACTGTGCAGATACAAGCTATGCCACATCACTTGTGCTGAGAAAGTGCAGCATCTCTCATATGAGGAGAGGCTGAGAGAGCTGGGACTGTTTAGCTGGGAGAAGAGAAGGCTCAGAGGGCACCTGATTATTTATTTAGATATTTATTTATTTAGATATTTATAAATATCTAAAGGAAGGGTGTACGGAAGATGGAGCCAGACTCTTCTCAGTAGTGCCCAGTGACAAGATGAGAGGCAATGGACACAAACTGAAACACAGGAAATTCCGTTTAAAGATAAGAAAATACTTCTTCATTGTGAGGGTAGCTGAAGCCCAGAGAGGTTGTGGAGTCTTCATCCTTGGAGATATTCAAAACCTAACTGGACACAGCCCTGGGCAATTTGCTGTAGCTGACCCTGCTTGAGCAGGGATGTTGGACTGATGATCTCCAGAGGTGCCTTCCAACACCCACTCTTTTGTGACTCTGTGACCAGAGAACAGGCTCTAACTCACTGTATGTTGTAGTTCACATGGGGCCTCTAAATCTGCTCCCAGGACCCAAATATACATGCAGCTCCAGCTGCATGTATAGGGGAGCAGGTGCAGCACTGCAGGTAGAGCCTGGAAAAGGAGCGCAGTTGACTTCCAGGCGTTCTCCTGCTCCTCACTACCGGCAGGGAGAGAGGCCAGGTAGGGCCAGCTCTGGCACTGCCATCAGACAGCTGGGGAGGAGGGACGGAAGCACATGGGGTGGCCCAGAAGTGGAGACAAGGCTCGTGTTGCTAATAGCTTAACGTTAGCAACATTAGGTCTGGTATCATTCAGTAGCATGTGCATTTAGCGTTGTGATACTATCAGAGTGCTGAGAGATGGCCCACTGCACGGTTGTCGGTAAGTTTTAAGTCTGATGGGGAAATCTCACTTTTCACTTTCACTGATCTGAGCAGAGGCCAGCACAGTTCAGTGCTATTTAACGGTGACAGAAGTCACAAGTGATCCATCTGCAGCACCACTGTTCATATTTCCCCCCCCGTCATTTCTGACATCTAGGGAGAGGGAAGTAATTTCTAAACCAGAAAATGCAGTTTTAGAATAATAAGGTAAGTGACTTTTCAGAGGATCTACATCAGCAGCCCAGAGGTCCTGAGCCTTTGATTTGCTGAGGAGGGAGTACCCTAGAATTAAAGCAGTAAATTTAGGTGGGGAAGAGACGCTCATGAGAAGCCAGTCTTTACGCAAACACTGCCAAAGTGATAAATGTTGCTGTTAAAGACTTAGAAAGTGCTTTGTATCAGAAATATCTGTGCCTATTTTAGGGAACTGAAAATGTGCATTTTAAATACACAGCTATTCCTGTTCAGCTCTTCAAAGCATATTCTGTTTTGTTTGGTGTCACGCAGTATTATCATGGTCTGCTTATTACATGTTTTGGTGACAGATCAAATACTGCAGTGTATCTTTTGATCCGCTTACCAGATATAGCTTCCCATTATAACCAACCCTGTGTGTAGTCCACTTCCCCGATTCTGGCATTGCACTGTAATTGTGCACTTCTCAGTGGGGAATGGGCATGCTAAATTTGTCTTCTAAATACTGTGAAACTGTCATGCAAACTGCCCTGTACTTCACAAGAAATCCACACAAAATCCCTATAAAACACATATATTCAACTACTCATGTACAGCAAACTCTAGCCTGAATTACAAGAGAACACGTTTGCTGGCACTTACTTACATTTATAATTAGGAAATAGAGTTCTCTTACTTTTCACTCATGTTTCAGTAACAGAAATCTTTCTAAGGGGATCAATCATCACTCCTATTCTTAATAACTATTTTAAAGATCCTGTTTCCCATATTGAGGTATTTTCTTATCCTGCACAGCAGTTATAAAATCTCTAAGGAAAAGCATGCCACTGTGTAGTTATATTACACAGAATGGTACAACTCAAAAACAGGCTTAAGGCTTTAGCGATTAACAATTACTGATGCCTCATTTTTATTAAAGAACTGCAAATCTTGACTTATATCCTACAAAAGCTATTAAAAAATTTATGAGGGTGCAGGCATGTATTGACTTGAGTGAAACTGTGTCTTGACAGAATCAGAAAATGCTGCTATTTAATTTAACTCATTTTTATGCATACACAGAAACACTGTAAGTATTTGCTATTGCATCCTCCATCTTTATCCCACGTTAAATTTAGTGTAAGATTTACTTTGCACTAATTATACTGGGCAGATGTTAAACTTTGGTTACCTCTGTATACTTGTAGCACTGCTCAGCAGTGCACTCTGCTTTGCTGGTAGGATTGCTGAGAGCAAAAATAATAGGACGTTTGTTGAAAGCAGCCATATCCTGCAGAATTTGTTGGGTAAAAGCACCACCAGTTGCAGCAACTCCTAAGCAAGAAAAACACACATGTAACAAGCAGACAAATGCAATTTGTTCGAGGTAAATCATGCACATCACTTTTAAAAGAACAAACTCTTCTACTGCATACCTCCCCATGTAAAATGTAGTTCACCTTCTTTCCTAACATAAGCGTTTAAAAAAATGTTCTGCATAAAATATTTTGCTTCTTTACGTGCTATAAATTACTATTTTTTCATATGTCCAGCTCCCAGATTATCTGTAAATACAACCCCTGTGATTCAGCATTAGCGTATGTTATGATCTGCAACTAACACAGGGAAACCTGACCTGGAGCCGCTTTTCCAAGGTCTGTCTCGGCAGTCTCCAAGAGCCTCCACTCAGCACATCTGATCAACGTCCTTCCTGCCTCGGCTTTTAATTTTGTATGAATTATTGGAAGGGGTTGGGGTGTTACTTTCAAGTAGCAGTACTTCTAAAGCTCTGTGGATTACATGCTTGCAAATATGGTAATTAGCTAATTCATAAAATACTTTGCAAATGTGTAACAGTGAGGCACCATGTCATGTATTTTTAAAAAGACCATCTTGCTACTGTAAGCTGAAGCCCAGTACACTCAGATACCTCATATGCAACTTAGCACAAGGCCTATACCAAACTAGTGGGTATCAGCCAAAATGTAATTAGGCAGGCGGCCGGGTGTTGATATTCTCCAGCAGCTGGTGGTATCAGAGCGGGCAGTGGTGCAGCCTGTTCTCTGGGGGGAAATGCAGGCACCCCAGCCCTACGGTGCCAGCAAGCGTGAGAAGCTTCTGATGGCACTGGTTCTCGTAAGTCCAGCTGCAACGGTGACACTTAGGTGTCGTCCCCAACACATGCCAAAACCCCTACACCCCTGTGCCATTTGGTGAATTTCTCACTCTACTTTTGTCAGGCCAATTATAAAAATAGATATGTATCATCTAACTCCCAGATAAAGGGTAGATAACTGCAGCTCTCTCCTAAAGTCTCATGCAATAGACCAGACCATTTCGCTCAAACCCAGTGTGCTAGGTTTCATTTTTTCCTGACATAAGGAGAAGAAAAAAAGTCTGTCTTCTACAGCTCATTATCATTATCATCTCCAGCCTCAACTGATGAATAATTGCAGAGAGCTGTTCTGAGTTTAAGAAGCTTCCCTGAGAGCAACAGTCTTTCTGAATAAATGCCTTCCCATCCCACCAGAGGTTAAAAATGATGCCTTGCTGTTCTCCGTATGGTCCATGCTTATAAACGCTTTTCACAGGGATTAAACGCGTCTTGCAGAATGACAGCATCTAAGGCAGTCTGGTTGCTCCCGCAGTGTAGAGGTGCAGCCAGTACCACAGCCCAGACCTCAGATGCTCCACCAAGCCCGAGGCGGGTTCTTGTTTTTGAGAAGCCAAGTAAATCTGGATCTCTGCCTATCCGACACGTGAAGGACAGATAAACCTAAGGCTCTTTATTCCCAAGGCGGTCCCTCTCCCCCAGCTCGTGTAGAAGGCAGCCTCTTTCTTGCTCAGAGACCGATGACCTGAAACCCCATTCTCCTTTCCACACAGGGGATGATGGGCTTCAACAGCAGGAAGAAAAACTCCTCTTCCCTCTCTGAGAGAGCAGG